TATTTACTCAGCTATTTAAAAGTGGCTACTCTTACTCATTCTCTGGACAGCTAAATGCCAGGTTGCTAAGTTACTGTTACTTGACATCATCTCCTCCCCAACGTGTTCCCATATTTGACAGGTTCACATGGTTTACTAGGCCAGTCGGCTCGTTATTCACTTGTCCAATGACGTCTGGGTAATCATTTTAAATTCATATCATGTCCTCCTCAGCAAGCCCCCAGATTCCACATGAAAATATTTAAACTGCCTGTCAGCTACTAAGTGCATTTGTAACCACACTGGACAGCGTACCTGTATTTTTAAAATTACAATTATCATAATTAGGTTGAGCATCGTTCTTCAATGTTGCTTTGTATTTTAGAAGAGAAAACAATTACTGAGGGGCAAATAGTGGGCTATATCTGTTACAGTCTAATTTTGCTCTGTGAACAGCTCACCTCAGCTATGGATGACACATATTAAATCCGTTAGTGCTTTCGGTTGGCATGAGGAAGGTAATACTACACATAATTTGCCCAGTCAAGGGCATTTTCACCTGCTGATCAATTTACATATTCTCCAATGTCATTAGACATGAGCTTGTCATCAGAAGAATAGAAGACCATACAAATTATAGACGTTGCTCATTTAACTCCAGTCATTTTTACACTAATTACAATCTGAATTATATTTAGGATTTGTTTTGCTTCCAGACTAGAAAGCTTTTAATTAATGTCACAGCTGTCCACATAACATCGGAAGTCCATCTAGTTACTTGATGCCTTACTACAGCAAATATGCACCTACAAGAATCCTTTTGTTCCTCTAAGCAGGGACAGATTTTTAGACAGAAGTGCCTGCCCAGATGGTTAGCAGCACAGACACGAAAGCTTCATGTGTACAGACCAGAGCCTCACTTCTGTGGGATTACATCTAACCAACTGCCTAAACACCTAGCCCAAAGTTTCAATTTACACTACAAGTCCTCAAGAAAATTTAGTTAAATAAAATTTCCTTTCTTTGCCGTGTAATGCTGTATCCTCATCACCTCTTTACGCAGAGGTAAACCAATGCCAAGGGTTTCTGCTCTCTATAGGCAGAAATAGGATCACTGTTAGTTCGTGCCCAGCGCGACACCTACACCCCCCATGCCTGGACCTGTGCAATGGTTCATGTAACATGCAATGACAGCGAGGTGCATGGATGTAAAGCACTGGTCCAAGTGGCACAAGTAACAGCTTCAGAATACCAGTTCAAAATGTCAGTTCTCCCACCCCATCTGCACTTTGTATCACGATGTTTCAATGAACTCATTTTTCAATGGCTGCACATAGCAAGTGACAACTTAATTTAAATCCATACTAATAAAATGTGAATTACACACACACACACACACACACACACAGTTGATTGCCTGTCTTCCATGTTACCCACACTTTCAAAGCCATTACGTTGGTTTAAAAAAATAAGCCACATTTTGGAACAGAAGAAAGTGTACTGATCACCAGTGTATTCGCCTTCATCTTTCAGTTTGGTATTAGCAACAGTATTAAATGCAAATCTCCTGTACTAGCTTTACAGTTTGGCCTTAGTTGTGCAAGAGATTTTATTTTTTTTAATTATTATTTTTAACAACCTTCTCAGCCATCCTGGTTAGAAAAGCAAAATCAACAGGAGACTGGTCTGCCATTAACCTTTGGTTGTAGTATCAGGAACAGTCCTTAAAGCATTTACACAAGATGACATAAGTGGCTAAGTGTTTCAGGAAATCTGAAGGACTGTGAAATTTTGTCTCTGAAGACTCAGGGGTCCGAATGGACGCAAGACCTTTCCCCTCACTCGGTTGGAAATTTTTGACCATAAACTCAATTAAACCTTTTTTTTTCTAGGGGAAAAAAAAAAAAAGAAGACAGAGATTAGGAATTGCAAACCTCTACAATTACAAAAACCATTAATCAAGTTCAGCTTGAAAAAAGAGCTCTGTAAAATCAGAGGTCACAGATCTTAGCTTGGGTCCCTCTTCCTTGTGAAGTCTAGCAAAAAAACCTTCAAGAGTTACTGTGTCTTTCTGAAGGGTGAAACTGAATTAAGCCACTTAATTCCCTGACTTTAAAAAAAGAAAAAGCAAACATCAAGGCATGAAATGCTCTCATGTGAGACTGGCCGGGCCGGGGGGAGGCAGGAGGCAGCACTCTTCCTCCAGCACTCTGGGGTGCACAGCTCAGCAGCGGACATGGCCCAGAGCAGAAATTGCCAGTCGTTGCCAAATGATTGGTCAAAATGCACGCTATTACAGCCCCATCTGTCTGCCTTCGGGACTTGACTGTCTTGCAATCCTTCTTGTTTACCTCTGCAACATCCCTGACAGGATGGAAATATTAATAGCCCGGTTTTTTACCTGGGGAAGCTGCCATCACGGGGCTGAGGCCCACACTCCCAAAGGCTCTTCAGAGCCTACGTAAATGGCCTCAAAAGGCCAGAAAGTATCTGTAAGGGCTCGGAACTTAATCCAGGTTCTCAAAGCACAAATCGCTCCTGAAACCAAGGGTCATCCTTTCATCTGGAGCAGAAAGCCCGAATCTCCTGACACAGGGCTTCCACGGGGAGCCCTAAGGCTGGATTTTGACCACTGCTGGGCATCACATTCTCTTAGTTATTTCCTCTGTTGCCTGTTAAGTTGAATATTATACTCTGCATGCAGCCAAAACACTTTTCCTGCTAGCTTACTCTATATTATAAATTTGAGAACAAAGTCATTGACAAAACTCAGGTACTCCCCCTTCCACATGTGCTTCAGTACAATATAAAGTTGAAAGCCTAAACCACTGCCACTGAAGGCAACCAGTTGGGACTGGGGTTTGCTTGGCTGTTGATGGGCAGCCCCAGAAACAGCCCTGTGATCTGCTGCTTTCGCACGCTCGGGACCTTGCCGGCAGCCCGCAGCCTGCTTGCAGACAGGTTCCAAGAAGGCTGCAGACAGCCTGTCAGTGCCCAGAGCTGCCTAATGCCAAGCCGATGGCACACTAAGGCACTCTCACTGTGTAATGGCACGCAAACCTACCTGGCTGCACACGTGGCCAGGGAGCTCGCACCCCAGACGATCCATGGCCGAGGTCCCACTTTCACCTCTGGAGCGCCAAGCCCATACCTGCTCCCTGGCACAGGAGGTTTCATAGGCTCAAGATGGCTTCTGGCTATGGTGGACAGGCTTGCTCCATGGCTGGATGGCAAGGCTGAGCATGGGGGGTGCCTCTGGGTATCTGCACCCAGCAGTCTAGAAAGATCTGCCAGTTCGTAGCCCTTTTTTGGGTGCCCATTACATGCCCTCGTGAGACAGATCCCCAGAGCCATGGAAACCTGCCAAATCCCTGCTTTGTCCACCCCAAGAGCCCCCTGAGTTTAACAGCCTACTGGTAGCAGGAGGTGCTGCCTGCAGCTGCAGGAACCCCACCTTCTGAAGACCACAGAAAGTCCTGCACCGATCTCAGCAGGTTTCAGAAGGGAGCCCGGGACATTCTGCCTTTGTTTGCTGACTCAAATTACAGTCATGGGATAGGAAATAGGATCACCTCCTCTTGATTAGAAAAAAGACACTTCTGCTTCCTGTGATTTATATGCACTGTTCCCACATTAAAACTGTCACCTGGATGACCAATCCCTGAAATTCGCTACATTGCATTTCCTTTTGATGCTGTTTACTGAAAACAACTTCTTTCCCCAGCTAACAAGTCATTCATTCCAACTATAGTGAGGAACTTAATTGAAATATATAAACAGAGAAAGAAGACATATAAAATGTACCAAGTATTTTGCACAGCCTTTCAACATTTTCTTTGCTTTTGCTCCCTTCCTGTTCTACAGGTAATAAACCGCTGGTCACTTTGAAGGTCGAAACTAAATTTTATTGATTTCCTTGCATTCATTGCTGCTGGGTGCATGTGCAGATGCATACGCCTCCGTTACTGCAGGTCTGCATGCACATGCTTGCCTGCTGGTTCAACACACTTCTGCAGCATCACTGGCAACCTGTTAAGGACATCAGTAGAATCCCAAGAAAACGTGTGTACACAAAACAGGAGGTTTTTTTTTCCCAAACTTATCCCAAACTGAATTGCAATGAATGCTGAGAAGCCTATTTTATTTTGTAAGCAAGTTGGCACAACTGTTACACATGATTTCAAGTCTGGGTTAGTTTGCATCTGTTGCTCATCATGGTAAGGATGTGGCCAGCACAAATTACCACTGAAATTTTAATCCCCTCTACACCAAAAAACCAGCAGGTTGGCTGGCAATCCCAGGGAGGTAGCTCTGACAGACGGGAAACTCACCCCATGAGGATAAAAACCTAAATCCCAGATAGGACAGGTGGGTTGCAAACCTGCCCCCAGACAAATCTCACTGCCAACAGGAGATCCCAAAGTTGAGGTGTCTGAGGGAAAGCCTATCTTACACTTAAAGTAAGGCACACTTATGCATATACAACTTGTTGTGTACACTCCCCTTTTTCTTGTTGCATGATCTTGTTGCAATCAAGCCATGCTTGGTTTGGAGTGGTTGTTTTAATTTTCTGTATTTAACCACTGACCAGAACCTGGAGAAAAAAAAATGCCTGTAGGTCTTTTAATAAAGTCATGAACAATGAGCAACTGTAGTTTGGGGGAAGAAGAAGGAAGACTGTAGGTCAGTCTGTGAGTGGGAGAATTAAGGCAACACCACCTCAGGGCAGGAGAGAAATGTGTCCTGGAGAGACTCACAGAGACTGAGGGCTGAAAAAAGAACAGGAACACATGTAAATCCTGACCGAGACAAGCTGGCAGATGCAGAGTGTTAGGTGAACTGACTGTACTCACTAAGGAGCACCCTGGGCCTACCATTTGGCTGTGTCTCTATTACAGACCCACAAATATGTTATTATTTAACTACAGCGTTAAGGACAGCCACATAATCCTCCTCCATGAAAGATGAAATAACAGCACTACAATTATACAAAAGATACAAAAGCAAAGGGTATTACTCACCCGTAATATTTCTTCCACACAGCTGGAGTCATTGGGAAGGGTAACCTAGGGTTAAAAAAAAAAAAAAATGTTTAGTCAGGTGCTGGATGCAAAGTTCAGTGACTCCAACCACACAGGTGAACAGCTAACCAGCAACTGTCTCTGTTTGAAGACTCTGTATGTTTGCTTGCTGCCTACCAATTTTTCCAGTTCAGATCAACATAAATCATCGTCAGGACCCATTTTGTCAAAAGTTGGTTTTTTCCTTCCTCACTGCTTTGTGCTACTAACGACATTTTTGAAGCAATAAAGTGCTCTGATTTCCTCACAGTTGAGAACTGGCACTAGAATTGCCTGAAACTTCTGTAATTGAAGAAAATCCCACTGTTACTCCTATAGGCAGCCTTCGGAGAGAAGGCGAGGTTTGGTTTAACTTGCCGCACGCTGCAGTGAAGGACAGAGGTGATAACAGTTAGGAGAAAGCTGTTATCATCAACTATCTTATCCTACAGCTTAATAGGCTAACAGCCAAGACAGCTCTTAAAACTTAAACATATACTGTAGCAAAATACTGGTTGGACTATAAGGGTGGCTGCTGATTTTGTTGTCCCTTCATCAGCCTGTTGCAGGTTAAGTATCCTCTGAAGAGCGAACAGCACACAGGAATGCACCTCAAGAGGCTTGATGGATATTCCTTCTCCCCTTAGAAAGATGCCATAAATCTATGCACACAACCATACCCATGCACACACACAGTAGTGCCCTTAACGTCTTCCAACTGAAAATACTTGTTTAAATGGTACTTACAGCGTTTGCCACAATCCCTCATTCCAAGGACAGGAAAGAGCACAAAACCTCTAAATACTGTGAACAACCACCATTTTGTAACACTTGCAGGTAGTTATGATGGGTTCTTATCATGGTCATACAACAGAAGAGGAAGAGACAATATTCAGGAGGGTACCAAAAAACAGGTAAGTGCTTCGTACCATAAATATTCAATGAGACTTTCTGCCCGAGGTAACTGTCTTATTGCCCTTAGTAACCAGTTTGGTAAAAGACACTCATGACTAAACTTAAACCCTGTCATCCTAATCTGCCATAGAGCTTGACCAAAAGCACCAACCATGCCTTTCATCCTATATTTCAGCCAGCACTAAGCTTCAAGAATAAATCCACAGAGCTACAAAAGTCGAAGACCAGAAAGACCTATTAGATCACCAAGTTTGTACTCTGCTAATATAGCACATTTTCCAAATATCTTCTAGTACTGTGGCTAATCTGACCCAAAAACTGTAGGGGAAAGGG